GACGTATACGGGCCTTTCTAATCCACATTCACATATGGTAAGATGTTGATATAATAGTCCAATTTAAGCCCATTTAAAAACGCAAAGGAGGGAGCGAGCAAAACACCGTAATGTCAAAACACGTGTCACAACAACATCATCTTAATATCTGACGTGTCTCTCTAAAGAGGGAATCAACTATTCTTTATAATAATAGATTTAAAAAAAATGTAATTTAATTCTAACTAATTCTAGGAAGAAAAAAGTGTTTTTGACCCAAAAAAATGTTAAAAAGCCGTTCAGTCTCCTCTTATGTGGACTAGTCTTCGGGGGACAAGTTTGCAGCGTTTGTGTGGCTTTGTCTGATGAGATTAAATCGCAGCATTGAAAGTTGAAACCATTACCTTCTGAAACAGCACGAGTGGACCGGCTCAAAATCAAATTTGGCCCACATGTTAGCCCAAGTTCAAGCTGGCAACATATTCATCCTCGACACTTTCTCATAACTGACATTCGAATCTTAGCAACGGAATAGAGAAGTTAGAGAACCATATGACATGATCTTCGTCATCATTCATTCATATTAATTTTCTTCGTCGGAATACAGTAAAGAAAATTCACGACTAATGTGCCTTCACCTCTCTCTAATGCCTCTGATGTGAACCAGGAGCCAATTGAACGAATCTCCACCGTCTCCAGAACAGGACCGTGCCGGAAGATTGATGGCCCAAAGCTCAATATTTGAGGTCAAAAAGTAATATATTTAGAAAACTAAAAAGATGACTAGCTAGGAAGAAAGTTCAAACTTATGACTAAAATATAATAAGAACACATATGGACCACTAGACTATAACAGAATATTTAAGAAATATTGGCTCCGAAAATAATTAATATGAAAAAGGTTACAAACCCATGTTTGGTTTGCCTGCATCCAGGCACGGCCCTGCTCCACAACCAACACTTTCATCTCCCAACCCTAGAGCTAGAGGGTCGCGCTTCGCTGAGAAGGATATCCTCATTGCAAACATAGGAAAGAAGAACCAGTGTTTGGTTAGTAGTGCAATCGGCTAGGAATTTTGGAGTATTTCGTGTGAGCTACCATGGGATATCAAGCGAGGAACTGAGATCACTGGTGAGGCAATTGGGTTTTCGAGGGAAGAGAGATAAGGTTTAGTCTGAGTGCTGCCGGAAAGTGAGACGAGTTCGTTTGGGTTTGGTCGTGGAAGGAGTGTATGGTATGGGCACGTGAGTATGCCAGACATGAAATATACTGTTGTTTTAAAGATTTTATTGGGTCTTATTGAACCAAAATTTAAATAATAGTGGAATCGATTTTGTTATCAATTACAGTACACTCTTGTTTTACTGTGTTTTGTTTAACTAACCAAGATAAAATTTGGTTAAAGCGTAAGCAATCTCACTTGACAAAATTCATCTGATCGAATTGATGTCTAAACTGACAAGAGAACGTGATTCTTTCCTGGTTCTGGTTGTGGGTGATATTTGAGACGAATTTAATATTACATACTCTTTAATTCATTAAATTTTTGTTGCAGTATTTCTACTCTTTTTCTTTCAGTCATTTTTCTTTGGAATATGGATCTCATATTTTTTTAAGAATCATCATATATATATTTTTTTGAGTATATTTAATCTTGAATGATGGACTTGTAAAGTATCTTTATTAATTGATTAGGTCAAACCTTGATTTTATATGTAAACACAACACAAGGTGATAAGAAAAAAACTGAAACAAACATCTAGTCACCAACACAAAAATTTTAAGGCAGAATAGATTAATCATGAATTTTAATCATGAATTCTTTTATTCTATTTTGCTTGTTTAACATGACATCTAGATTATTATTTTTTTACAAAAATTGTTTAAAATACTCTAATTTGACTAGCATTTTAAAAAATATATTCAGTCAAAAATACAATAACATTTGGGTTTATTGTTTAGTGATTGTTATATATGTTTTTCTATTAAAAGAGCGGGGTTAAGTCTATAAATTTTAATAATTGATTATTAAGCAAATAATTGATTATTAAGCATTCAAAAAGGATTTAAGAGAGTCAATTTAGTTATTTTCATTGCAAACTTAAGTTATTTATAAAAATGACTATCATCTAAAAGTAAATTTGGAAAATGGTAACAAATTTGTAGTAAAAATAGAATTTTCGAATTCAATATGTTTCTCAATTCATATCCTCTGATCTACCTAAGAGGTTAATGATCAAATCATCTTCAAACACACATTTTCAATCTTTATTGAAACTCTCCAGTCAGATTTGATATTAAAAAATTGGATTATTTGGCAGATAACTATATTGTGAGAGTTAATGAAGTAAACAATGGTTGCTGCAAAAATCATTTAACTGGATGCTATTTCTTCATATAATTAATTAATTTAGTGCATTATCCCCAAAAAAATCATTATTATTTTATCCAATTAAATCTTATAAACTTTCTAAACTATTATATTCTTGAACAATCTTCTCAATGATATCTTATATCAATAATATAGTATTAGAAGTTAATAACATTAAACTTCACTAATGAACGAACACATTAAAAAATTACCTTCATAGTACATGATGTTCAAAATATAACCATACAATCTTTAACGACTTCAATTACATAGTTTTAATGTTTTTTTTTCTTTTTAAAATGTTTCTTAAAAACAATAAATATAAGTTGTAAAACCCAAAAATAAACAAATAATTCCAGTCCACCAATGACAGCCCCAGGCTTCGCTGTCTATACCAATCAAGTAAATGCAAGCCACGTATAACTTACTTCTAAGCATTCTATCATCACGCGCCGAGCGCCACACATCACGCGTCTGGTTAACTTAAAACAACTGTCAACCACATTAATTACCTTAATCACTCCCGCCATTACACGACCCGACCAGACAACCTTAACTACATGTCCTAAAACCGAATTTATAGTTTACTTTTCTTCCAAGTTTGTTATTCCTTCCCCCGATTCCCCGCATTTAAACAAGGTGAAACCATAACCGTTTCCGATCCAGAAGTTTTTTTTTTTTTTGAGATCGAATCGGCATGACGAATCCGGTTGAAGTTTCCGACGTGGAGGCGGCGAAGACGACGCCAGGGACAGGAACGTCGTCGTTTTCTGCGATAACTCAGAGATGGAAGAGGGAGGATTTGGTAAAGAAAGCGTCTCCGATCGCGAGAGGGTTGTGTCTTTTATTCTCTCTTCTTGCTTTCATCATTATGGTCTCTAACAAACATGGTTACGGTAGAAACTTCGACGAGTACGAAGAGTACAAGTGAGATTCTATTGATTCTGTGTATTCATAGAGATTATGAAATGTGAAATTGTGTTTTGAAGTTTTTTATTTATTTATTCAGATATGTTTTGGCAATTGCGATCATCTCAACCGTGTACACTGCATGGCAAACATTTGTACATCTCTCGAACAGAGAGTTCTTTGATCGCCGGACTTCCATGTTGGTCGATTTCTCCGGTGACCAGGTAACCAATTAAAAAAAAAAAAGAATATTTGAAAATCAAGCGGTGGTAATGAATATTTGCTTTGTGATTGTAGATTGTAGCTTATCTTCTCATATCAGCTGCATCATCTGCAATACCATTGACGAACAGATTCAGAGAAAGTCAAGATAATATATTCACTGATTCTGCTGCTTCAGCTATCAGTATGGCTATCTTCGCCTTCGTCTCTTTAGCTCTCTCTGCTCTCTTTTCTGGTTACAAACTCTCTACTTATTCTTTTATCTGATTAATCTGCTTAAACCATGTGCTTCAATCGTTTATTTATACCTTGTTGATGTTTGCTATACGTGTAAATGTCATTCATTCTTTTACTTCCTGTTATGTCTGTGACTCTGTATGTTCTTTGATGATACATTGTACGAAGTGAAAACATTGATTGGCTTTATATTATTTATCTATTTCTATGGTACAAAAAAAAAACTTAAATATTATTACATTACAGGCAGAGCCATGAAAAAAAAAGAAAAAAACAAATGAAATAATTTCTCTTAGTAGTATCAGCAGGATCACTAGTAAGTAGTTAAAACTTAAAACCCTTATCTTCAGGACAAAAACGAATCAAAAAACGAGGAGGAAGACTCCTCGTTTGGTTCTTCTTTAGCTATAGAGAATCCACCACCACCAACAAAGTTGTTTTGTTGTGTCTGAAGGTTGTTGTTCATAGTGTAACCAAAAGGCCCTGCATTAGTGTTGTTGTTGTTGTGCAGCATCTGAAGTGTATATGGTGCTTGAGAAGAAGAAGTGTAGTTAGAGTGACCAGCAATGGCAGTTGGTCTAATTGGTGCTGGAGAAGGATCATGTGCTAGTCTGTTTGTAGTGTAACCGCTACCACGAGCTGCAGGTACGTCATGGTTGTGTTTCCCTTCGTAGGTTGTGATTACTGCTCTCATGTCGCTTGATGCTCTCTCAACATGTTTTCTCACTGGACAACCGGTGGTTGTGCACTTGTAGTAGCTTCTGTTAAGTCAAATGAAACATAAAAATGTCAGATTCTTAGAGCCCTAAGTGTTCTAAAAATCGATATCATAACAAAATAATGTTTCTTCCGCCTAGACACTGATCCTCGATAAAATACTCCCTCTGTTTCATTATAATTTTATACATTTCCTATATAAAAACACATTTACTCATATACCTAACCATATTTTAACCAATAGAAAAACAAATTACATAATAAAATTAATAAATTTTGCAATGAAAACCGAAAACTATACTTATTTTGTAACGCAAAATTTTTTTTAAAACGACACTTACTATGAAACAGAGGAGTACTTAATTATGCCCTAACGATTTTTTGAACAACAATACATGTATGTTTGTGTCTTATTATTTACCTTGGATTTGGGTTCCCCTTGACGACTTTCTGACCATACTTTCTCCATCTGTATCCATCGTCAAGAATGTCAATATCACTTGTTGTCTGCACAACAATCCTTGGCTCTCTCACTGTCTTGCTTCCATTCAAATTCCCACCGTTTGTCTCGTTCTCTCCTTTCCTGAAACACACACACATAAACAAACATGTTAGAACTTTCTTATTTAAGTTTGGTCAAAGAGAGTGATGATGATCTTACCATCTCTTTGCTTCAGGTTCACTCCCACAATCTTCTTCTTCTCTGCTGATAACTGATAACGCATCGTCTCCAAGAGAACCAGAAGTAGTATTATCTTCTTGATGAATAGCAAATGAATCAGAAGAACCATGGTGATCAAGTCCAGCATTGAACACAGCTGAATGAAATGCCGAAGATGATCTTCTGGTGGATTGAGGTTTAGGATGGTTATGACTTCCTTTATACACAATCTCTGTGATCTGACCTTCCAAAGACATCTCTACTTTCTTCTTCGTTGGACAACTTGGGAAAGTACACTTGTAATAACTCCGAGGATTCTCACTCCCTTTCACTTGTTTCTGTCCGTACTTTCTCCAGTTGTAACCATCCTCTCCTTTCCTCTGCTCCCTTCCATTGCAAAGTACAGCTTGTTGGGTGTTGTTGTTTGGACGAGAATCTGTTTGGCTCCATTGCAAGACAGAACTGTTTGCTGTTGTTGTTGTTGTCGGAGCAGAAAGTTCTGATGGTTGTGTCTGAAATGAGAAATCAAAGAGACTAAGACTGTTGTTGTTAGTCTTCTCTTCTTCTGTTAAACTTTTATGGTTACTTTCGTTTGTGATGAGAGCTCCTGTAGTTGGAGAAGCAAGAACCTACAAAACAGAATCAAGAATGATTAGAATAGAATCAAGAAGAGAGTATTATCAATAGTTTAAAAAACAGAGAGGCTTACGTTAGCAGAGGAGGAGACAAAAGCAAGGGAATCTAGAAAAACAGAGGGGCTGAAACAAGTGGAAGGTGAGGAAGGAGCAAACGATCTGAACTTTGGTGGGATCTCAAGATCTTCCAATGTTCTTCTTGCCGTTTGTTGTGACCAATTAACAGAACCATTCATGTTTTGTCTGCTTCTGTTATTGTCCATAGTAAGAAGAGAAGAAGCAGCCATACAGAAAATAACTTATGAAAGACCAGTTTCAAATATTTATAGAAAGTGGTTCGTTAGGAGAGAGCTTGGAGAAAGGGGAGCCAAGACCAAGAAAAGAGATGTGATGGGTTCTTGAAATGTTTATGTATTTGTTTGTTTATGTCTTAATATATAAAACATTTTGCACGGTCTCATTGGTGATATTTTTATTTATGAAAGAAAAATGAAATAAAGTGTAGTTTCTGAGAAGGTGTAAAAAGTTTGACCGTTGAAAAGATTAGAAGATGGAGATGGTCAGACCTTGTGGCCTTGACTTTGAATGAGGCGGCTTGCTTTCATCATTCTTTTCTCACTGCCTCGTGTAATTTTTGGTTATTCAGTTAACTTGGATGAAAAATCAATTTCAAAATTTTGGAGAATCTTGGAATTTCTTTTTGACTGTTTTAGTAGGTATTGGACAAGGTCCTCTCTATCTTTTAAGCACATGAGTATAGATTAGGAGTGAATACTTAAGAGTATATGATTAGCCAAACCAATTAAAGTCTATATTAAATCCATGTGTCGTCACTTGGTTTCAAACTAATCTATTTGCTTGTACCAACTCTCAAACGTTCTTTAATTGTATTCATTTTGCTTACAGAAAATTTTAAAACAGTTTGTAGGTTTATGTGTTTATCAATTACTTAAAATGATGATTTAAACTCTTAGTGTATCTAGTGTGGGACCGAGTAGGATCTTAGGATTGTGACTAATCACTTACTAATTTATTTCATTAACACCTATGATTACTGTTTATTCCTTATATGCTTTAACAAGATTAGTGTCTTTAGTATTTGATTTGATAAACGCTTATGTGAGTGACGAGACCTTAGGCACATAGTCTAATTTTGTCGGTGAAGTTTTCTTTTTATGTTTGATCCTCCTCTTCTGCTCCCTTCTCGTAAACTTCCTCGGATTTTCATTTGCACATAAAAAAGTGAGATGAGAGATTGAGAGATAAATAAAAACATTAGTGTAACTCTACTGACAATTAGTGCTGAGTGGATGGATCAGGTGATCAGGCTCGTGAGATATGATCCGACCAGACCAAAATCTGGGCCCAAAAACTCAAGAGTAAAAGAAAGGGCCTATAACTATTAGTACACTTGTATAGTCTCTCGACAGCCAACACGTACAAAAGACGTGGCTGTGTTTGCTTCTTGAATCGTTTATAGTTAAAGAATGGCACAAAGAAAGAAAAATGAGATACACATCTTTTACAGCCTAGCTTTTAAAATCTCTCACTCTATAAACGTCAGCGTTACTAAATAACTAATAAGGTCTCGACTGCAAGGGGCTAAGAGGTCGTGGGAGTCTCTGATGGATAGGGTGAAGATGAACTGTTTATCCATGGCAGTCACGTTTCAATAAGGGCTTAGCTACGTCAAAGCCTTTTTTGTCGGCAAGGTACGTGGTTCAGACCACTGAAACATGCGGTTCAGAGACTCATGGGTCTTGAATCATGATCATGTGACGTGTTTGGTTAGTTCATGTATATTGCCTAATTTATTAATCATCTAAATATTCATGTTTCAAGAAAATTTAATAAGTCATTTTGTTATAGCCAAATAGTAAAACATGTTCAGAACATAATATTTAGATTTTGAGTAATAAAATTTTTGATTAATGAAATTTTTGGTTGGAAGACAAAGAGGTTGACGGCCAAGAACGAGCAAGAAGCAACGGAAGCTCATTTAACAGAGACAAAAATGCAAGTTGCAGCAACTGATGAAGCAGAGAACGCCAAGAATAGGCTTCATCAGTCTTCTTAATGTTTTTTTACTGATTAAATCTTCTTTTTATGCTAATTTATAATAATGTATTCGTAATATTGATTTTATTCGAGTCAATGTTGCTAACTTTTCTCAGCTATCTCTCATCTATTGAGTTTACATTCTACGATCGTCGTTTTCCTTAGGATTAGGCCTCCTCAATTTCAGTATTTGAAAATAAAAACTAAACCTGAATGTAGCAAATGTAGCAAAGAAACAACAACACACGCAGTAGATGCACATTGAGCAAGAAAGATATAATACACATGAAACCAATCTTTCTTCTTCTATTGCCTTGGTTTGGATTAGAATTAATCAAGAGCTAATACAACAAAAGGAAGGATCCAGGGGGACTTTTATTAGAAGAGAAAGGTAAGTGAGCGGTCTAGTACAATAATGCCTTCTCAATGAAAGTAAAGTAAGCTTCAAGCTGTTGTACACGAGCCTTTAGAGCTTGGCTTCCAGAAGCAGTAGCCGTTACTTGTTAGTGCTGTTGAATTTTCTCACTTTCCTTTCAACATGATACTGTGTTTATGGTACCATTAAGTTTTTTTCTGGTAGTTTTTTTTTTTTTTTTTTGTTCACCAGAAAATTCATTAATCTTAAACCGGGTTCGGTACAAAGCCATTGAGGGCTTGCTTAGCTAAACCATCTTCGATCACAAGGGATTCACGATGGCAGAAATGAAAAGAAATTACATTAAAAAACGACGAGAGGAGATGAATATCAGAGAGGATTCCATGAATTTCAGAGAAATAGGAAGATCCTTCTATCGCAGAAACCAAATGCAAGGAGTCAGATTCGAATTTCACACTCCTTAGCTGTAGGTCAATCGCTTGCTCCATCGCCGAACGCATTGCTAGTCCCTCCGCCACGAGAGACGAGATCACAAGCGCACAAGTAACACTGTGAGAGTAGAATCTCTCATTCCGGACATCACTGAAGGTCCACGCTAGGCCAGCAGCATTAAGATCCTTTTTCCAGGCCGCATCAGACCGGCAAATGACTTCGACATTTGGTGCTCGGGGAACATGCATACTTCTACCTTTGGGGAGCATAACAGGTTGAGCTTCCTTCCATTCTTTAGCATCACATATCGCTTTTGTTATCGTTTCTTCAGCTGTGAATTCTCGTTTTTGAAAAATTAGAAGATTTCTTGCAGTCCAAATAGATGCGATGATCCAAGGAGCAAGATGACATCCATTAAGCCCCACAGGGGGAAGAATAGTAGCACACATAGCCTGTCTCCACCCCATCTCAAAAGAAGCAACTAATAATGGGTCAAAATCTCGAGTTAAAGGTACCAAATTCCAAACCTTTTGTGCATAGGGACAGTGGTAGAATAGGTGGAGAATGGATTCAGGGCAGTCGCATCTGATACATTTTGCAATCGGAATGATTTGTCTTGCAACTAAAACCTCCCCCACAGGGAGAGCTCCGTGTAAGATTTTCCATAGGAGTAGCTTCAGTTTTGGTGCCATTTGAACATTCCAAACCTCCTTGATCCAGTCATGAGGAGGTCCCTGATTAGTTAGGATTTCAGGTTTATTCTTTTCCAGTGCAGCGTAATAGCCAGTTTTAGCCGAGTAGTTGCCTGAAGAGTGCTTCCGCCAAATCCTCTTATCAGCTCCGCCCCACTTACTAGGTTTGATGGTTCTGATAGAGTCGGAGATAAGAGGAAAGTGTTGCTCGATTTTTCCTTCATCCCATTCTCGATGATGTGGAGAGAAAAGGTCTGAAACACGCAAGTTCATCTCATGTTCTGGTATAGGACCAACTGGGGTACCAGCAAGCTCATATAGCCAAGAATCTTGCCACGCTAAGACACTGTGACCATCACCAATGGCCCAGCCAAGATGTTCTTTTAGTAAATCCCGTCCTATCATAATCCCCCTCCACCCATGAGAGCAAGCTGCTGGAGTTTTAGCATTAAGGAAATCTTGATCATGGAAATACTTGCCAGCAAGTACACGGGCCAGAAGACACGAAGGGGAGGTCAGAATGCGCCAACTAACTTTGGCCAACAGAGCATCGTTAAAGCTTTGTATGTCCCGGAAGCCTAGGCCCCCATCTCTTTTAGATTTGACCATTGTGTCCCACGATATCAGAGCCATTCCGGGGACTCCTGCTTTTGGATCCCACCAGAATCGGGTCAAAGCCGATTGGATTCTTTTACAAAGTGATTGGGGAAGTTTGAAGCATTGCATCGTATGGTTTGGTATCGCTTCCAACACTGCCTTGAGAAGCACCATTTTCCAGCAGGAGATAAGTATCTTGTAGACCAACAAATTGATTTCTGTCGTATCCTGTCTACAATGGAGGTAAAAAGGTCCCCTTTTTTCCGACCGAAATGTTCAGGGACACCGAGATACTTCCCTGCACCTCCCTCTTTCTCAATTCCCAAATCATTTTTTATCTTTTCTTTCAGAAGTAGAGGAGCTTGATTAGAGAAAGTTATACCAGATTTTTGAGGATTAATTCGTTGGCCTGAGGCTTTCTCGTACAAGGAGAGGACCTTTTTCAGAGCAGTGATATTTTTGGGATTGGTTCTGCAGAAGAAGAGAGTATCATCTGCGAATAATAGGTGGTTGATAGTGGGGCAGTGCGTAGCCACCTTAATTCCTTGTAGCTGTTTATCCTCTTGGGCCTTGCGGCAGAGACCTGACAACACTTCGCTACACAATATGAATATATAAGGTGATAGAGGATCACCTTGTCTAATACCCCTTTGTGGTTTGACTAACCCCTGAGCCGACCCATTAATGAGAAAAGAGTAGGAGACAGTCTTTATACACTGCATTACTAGGTTGGTCCAAACAGGATGGAAGCCAAATTGTAGGAGAACAGCTTCAATAAAATCCCACTCAAGACGATCATATGCCTTGCTCATGTCCGTTTTGACGGCCATTGAGCAGTGTTTTGTAGCTTGTGAAGTTTTGAGAAAGTGGAGGACCTCGTGGGATATAAGAATATTGTCCGTTATAGCTCTCTCTTGGACAAAAGCAGATTGGTTCTCCGATATCAAATCTGGAAGGATTTGTTTAAGCCTTTTAGCTAACAGCTTAGAGATTATTTTGTAGTAGACATTGCAAAGTGCAATTGGTCTATAATCTGCAGCTGTTTTTGCCTCAGTGCCTTTCGGGATCAATCTGATATGGGTATGATTCAAGGTTCTCGGCATTAAGCCGGAGGTGAAGAAGACTTGTATTTCAGAGACAATGTCTGGTCCGACCGACGGCCAGTTAGCTTGGAAGAAACTTGCTGAAAACCCATCCGGACCAGGGGCTTTGTCCGGATGAATTGCAAGTAGCGCCGCATGTACTTCAGCTGCCGTCGGGATTTCCAGGAGTCTTTCATTCACAGTGGTTGGGACTTTCGGGGTGATTGCTTGAGCTACAATCTGTTTTCTTTCCCCTGGAATTGTTGTGAAGAGTCCATTAAAATAATCAACAATCGTTCCTGTGATCTCCTCTTCAGTGAAGACTGGTTCTCCCTCTACGTTTTCAATAACTGAGAAGTTATTAATTGCATTCCTGCCTTTGGTAATAGCATGGAAGAATCCAGAATTTCGATCCCCAAGACTAAGCCATAGGTTCCTACTTCTCTGTTTCCAGAAAGCTTCCTCTTCCAAATATGCTGATTTTAGATCGGAGTTGAGACGATTGAGAAGTTCAACATCATTATTTGGGCTAGTCATAGCTTTCTCGAGTTCATCTTTCCATCTGTTGATGAGCAATTTGCTATTACGTTGTTGTTCCTTGTTCCACAACACAATTGCTCTCCTTATCTGGCTAATCTTATACTGCACAGATTTGTTACCAGCTTTCTTCCAGGTATCTTCAACTAGTGCCTTTATCTCAGGGTTCTCTTTTAGTCTGCGATCAAATCTAAAGAGTCCTTTGCCTTTCTTCTTTCTTAGATCAAAGCAAGCTAGGATGGGTCTATGGTCTGAGCCCTCGTACTTTAAATATTCAACACTTCCTGCCTGGAATAGCTCAAACCATTGGCTATTAGCAATGGCTCTGTCTAGCCGGCATCTAACGACGTCATTTCCTCGTACTCCCCTCCATGAAAGGTAATCACCAGTGTGGGGGAGATCATACAAATCACATTCCGATAGGAATGCTCGAAAGTCCCCAAAGGAGCCTTCGGAACGTTCCCTTCCCCCAGTTTTCTCTTGGTTATTTATAATATCATTGAAGTCACCAATTAGGAACCACGCATCCTCTCTATCCAGAGCAGTTTCTGTAAGTTTAGATCAAACGGATCGTCTTTGAATAGGTTCAGGATCACCATAGACAAATGAAGCTCGAAATCTTTTATTTTCATATCTGATATCAGCATTGATAAAGTTCTTACAAGAATCAGAAACAGTGAGATTAATGCCTTGTTTCCAGAAGAGTGCTAATCCTCCACTACCGTGGCCTTGAGGCGTGATCAGGATAGAATTCTTGTAACCCAACGAATCACATTTCCGGAGGACAAATTCGTTGGAATTCTTTGTCTCCGAGAGGAATAAAATATCAGGAGAGTAGACCTTGTGCATCTCCTTTAGTTTCTGAACTGTCGTGGGATTCCCCAAACCTCGACAGTTCCAACTGATGATTTTTAAGGAACTAGATCTGGTGGATTCTGAAAATCCACCCTCCTTCTCACCACAGCAGGTATGATCTGAATCTGGGGTTGGGGAGTTGCCGACGTACTGGTTCCTTGCGGGTTGACAGATTGTTGGGAAGGTCCTTTCGATCGTGAGCCACTTCCTCTAGTGGAGGAGGAAGGAGCGTTACGTCTTTTAGGAGAAATACGCACTGGAGGGGTCTTTCTCTTTGTTGTTCTTGACCCTGTTCCAGTTTTCACTCCCAGGGGTTTTGGTTTGTTCTTTGCCAAAGGAGGTCTTCCCAGTCTCTTCTTTGCTGGGATACGATTTGCTTCTAGTCTTGACGATGTAGCAGTAGCTTCTGTTGATGGGCCAAGGCGCGCTAAGGCTGACAGTCTGGCTGGACTATCTTGAACATTATCAATGTCATTATGGTGTTCACCCATATATTCAGAGGTGGCATTAAAAGCTGTATTTAAAGTAGGTGCATTGATGGCAGTACTTGCTGCAACCATATTTCTAGCAATCTCCTCTGCTTCTCCATTCTCTTCTGCTAATCTTAATCTTTCTTTCCTTGCAGCATTTTCGTTGGGATCAGCACAGCTAGAGTATTGGTTCATCGCATCTCTTATCTCTTTTCTTGCCTTACTGATGGCTTCAGAGTAACCATTATCATCCATAATCAGAGGCTCAGGGTCCTGTGGAGCTCCCCTGGGAGAGGTAACCATACGATCCCCAATTAATTGATCATTGTGGTTACTAGAACCTCTGTTTTCCATTGACAATCTTCGTTCTCTATTCAAGCTGATGTCTGGGGATTTGTCTCTTTGTTGCAAGTAGCCAGGTTGTGGAACTCTTCTACCTGTATCCACCCATCTGGAATTAACAGGTTCATGCTCAGCTCTCTGTCTAGAGTAAGATTGGTGGGTGCGGGATGACTCTTTACTGGTACGACCAGGAACTCGGTGAGCTCTTCTTTTGTCCTCATATGCCTTATTTTCTCTCAGAGTTGTTTGGCGATTGAAGTCAGGTCTCCTGGCATCCCTCATAAAGCCTGAGGACTGACGGGAGATAGATTCTCTATAGGTTTGTTTAGCTGAATAGCTTCTTTGAGGTGGAAGAACTTCCTCTCTGTTCTGTCGGTTCCCATGTGTTTGAGAGTTGTTCTTGTTAATGTTACTCTGGTGGTTCTTGTTAAGATGGCAATCTTCCTTCTCGTGGTCCAGCATGTAACATAAACTGCAGTGTTTTTCAAGTTTTTCGTAAAGTAGGGATGCCGTTACTTCATCTCCATTGGCAAACTCCAATGTAGTTTTAAAAGTTAGGGGACGTAGGCCGTTAATGACTGCTCTGAATCTTGCTTTTGAGGCCGTAATCTCCCAGCAATCAAACGTACCAATATCTTCTCCGATACCCCTGAGTATGGCTTCATTCCATAGATGGACGGGTACGTCTTGGATTTGAATCCAAAAAGTAATCTGGGATGGGAAATCAGATGATAAGGTAGGTTCCCATTTTTGGATAATAATCATCCATTTGGCAAAGTGGTATGGTCCATTATCAAGGACTGCCTGGAGATCTTCTTGATTTGCAAACTGAAATTGGAATTTTCCTTGTCCCAGGTCAGCTCCAAATGGTCTGGATTTGCACTTCCAGTGATCAGCAAAGAAAGGAATGAGGGACCACATTCGTTGAACTTTAGGGTTTGTGGTTCGACCGATGATGGTAAGTTCATGTTTCTGCATCATTTCTGAGGTATCATAATCGGGTAAAATCACTCTACCGCGTCGTGGAGGTGAGTTGGGTCTTTGGAGTCCTTTCCCTTTTTCAGAATATGACAGACGTCGAGACATGATGAGACAAGTTTGTTGTTGTAGCGTAGCTTTCACAATAGTTCAACACGTTTCCGTGAGAAGGTTCTTAGAGATTTACTCTAGAAAGATGAAGATCTCAACTCAGATCAGATCTTGAGTAGAGTTAACTGAAAACAGGTTCACTGCTAGCGACAGAGGAGCCTAGCAAGAATATGGGTTAGCACTAAAGGTTCCATGGATATCAAGAAGAAGGTCTTACCGGAGCTGGATCGGAGAGGATAGATCGGCCCTCCGACCTGAGTCGGGGGAGAACCCGGTGGATTTTCGACCAGAGGATATGAATATCCAGCAGTTTCTTCTAAAAAGGGGAATAATTTGAAAAGCGACAGTTTTTTCTGGTAGTTTTTAAGGATTGAAAATGTGCTATTTGGTTTCTCTTTTACTTTCCACTGCTTTTGTTGGTCCAATAATGCTTTTTTATTCAAAAAAAATGCTCTTTTTAAAAAAAAATTATGATTCCGTACAAGTCAAACATTAAAAAAATGAAAAGAAAGATAGTTTAGACATGATTGACATGTGCTGCAACCGAAACCAAGCACGATTTACCGATGTGTCCATTGCTAAGGCAAAAAGTCTGTTGGAGTTAGATAGATGACTTTACTCTCCTAGCAAATATCTGCAAAAAAACATTGGCAAGACATTGAGGTGGAAGAAAGGTAGGATTCTCCTTCCATTAATATCTTCTAAGCTTGCCGTTTCTTTGGATCTATCTTGCGGTCGTCTATATAATTTTCAAGATGTGATTTGTACAAAGCATTTACTCTCTATATATTCTAGTCCAAGCTTGAAATAACAGAGGAATCATTGTTCCTGAAATCTTGTTTTTTTCTTCTGTTTTTCAGACTTTCAGGTGTAGACATGTCTTATATTCCTCCACATAAGAGACATTCAAAGGATCCAAACAGATCTACCCCTGTTCCAGATTCTCTCGTTACAAAATTTAAGAACAAACTCGACTTCAAAAGTAGCAGTGATAACATCAACCGTGTTACATGTTCAGAAAATTTCATTTCCAAATGGCTTATTGTTGGTTCAAATGGGATCGGGGATAAGGTTCCTGCATCTGTTGATCTTGCTCCCTTTTCCTCGGATTCTGCCGAATGCATAAATGGAGAAAGGCCTTTGGTACTGATGAACAACGACTTCAATACTGAAGTGAGCGAGCAAGAAGAGAGAGCTCAATGGCTGTTAATAGCAGAGAATGTGGAAGAGGATCTTGTGTTGGCATATGAGCGAGCTAAAACTTCAATGGAGGAGAATCAACATGTATTGAGATTGGTTGCTAGGTTTGGTAAAATTCTCCTCTACAAGTAAGCGACTCAGGGTCTAATCTACATCTTGTTGTGTATAAAATTTCTCTTTTCTTACATATACAACATAAAACCAGGAGGAAACCTGGTCCTCTAGCTGAATTCTCACAGAAAAATTTGAAGAAGAAGTTCTCTACAGATGTCCCAACTTCTAACTTGCAACACATAATGTCTAATGTGGTACCAAACCATGGATTCTCTATGGACTTGGAAAAGGAAACATACACTGTGAAGGTACTTTTTTTCTTAGATTTATCCTTTGGACGTCATAATTAGACGAAACAAAAAAAATAAATCATTTGGACGTCACTTGTTAAATTTCGGCTAATCATCAACTTCCAACTTAAAGTCAATTGATAATTATATTATTTTTTATATATTTAATTATTTCTCCAACTACCACCGATAGTAAACTTGATTCATTAACATTATTAGTGTATGATTTGTTGTATCTGGCTTTTATTCTCAGGTATATCATAATACTCGACCCACTGAAACCATCAACTGTAAGTGTACCATTAAAGAAGATGGACGGCTCAGTATGTACAAGGCCGAGCTTAATGTTGTATGGCATTTGGTTGTTGATATGTCATGCATTGATAAGAGCATGGACATGAGGCTGATGCTTGCTGCCAAAAGGAAAATGACGGCTCTCACCGTGAGTTGAATTTAGATATATAATTTTCTGGATACTCTTTCTTGGACTTATGATATGTGTCTTTCTATGGTTGGTAGGGGAAGGAGATAAGTGACATTAAAGAGCTACTAGACTCAGCAACTGTTGATCCAAATGTGAAAGGAGGTTTAAGATGGCCGTTTGGTAAAGCTTCATCTGGAGATGGATACAGAATATTTGAAGTGTGTCATGTTAGAGCTACAATCTACAAAAACCAGGCTCTAAGGCTTAGGGTTAGAGAAACTGATAGATTCAACGAGAGGACTGGAACAGGAGCAGTCAAGAGAGAGGTGACTCTGGTACTTAAAGACGTTAACACTAAGTTACAGGTACATTACTATAATGCTTTTGTATAGATGAAACTCTTTTGAAAGTGAGGCTTATAGGGATTTATTACACTTGCTGTATGCAGGAGCAGAACATTGAAAGGGGTTGTGTTTTGGAAATGCTTCGAGATGCTCTTGGAATCATATGGGACTTTATGCATTGTGATGCATCTCTAACAAAGTAAAGAACCGTGTGATATTGCTAATAGTACTATTGGGTTTCCCTTTTACTTTCTCTTGATTTTATAGTCTCGGTCAGATGAAAACTGAGACTATATATAGACTTTGTGCAATAATATGTTTGACTGAATCAAACTGCTTGCATCTTTTAAATGGTTCTTTTGTGTAGTTTTGCTTGTGGGCTTTTCTTTCTTTACACAAGTAAAACCCTATTTCTTTTTGTTTTTCCATTCATTTGTTTTATTTTAAAATTTAATATACACTCAAGACGAGTAATTGCATTACGAAAACAACTTTTTAGTAGTCACAAAAATGAAATTAAACAAGACAAAATTTCATTATTATTTAATACAAAACTCCTTAGAACATTTATTTAGTCCAAATACATATATATAGTTCCCCACACATTGTATACTTCCTTACAAATCCATATCCTTGACATAATCAAATCGAGCTCACAACTCCACCCTCCTCAGTCTCCACACCGCTAGTTCTCGAGTTCACAACCCTACAATTAAGTCTTACCTCGCCTTGAGTTCCAGTCAAAGGTTTAAGTCTTCCCATTCGAACCATTGATTTAGCGAATGCCCTAAAGAACTCGAACGTGTTTCTGCTGTATAGTTCCACTAGTGGAATCGTGTCGGCTCCTGGAGTTGAGAACAGTTCTTGATCGCTCTGAATTACACCTTTCCCTTGACGAAGATTGGTGTAGTATTGACTATCGAATCTATTTGGAGACGCTAGGTCAAAGTTGGCCAGAACGGTTGGGTTCCCGTTTTCAGGGCACAGTTTACGGAGTTGGGTGAGGTAAGTTGGGTTTATACTCGGGTCTGGTTTATTGGTACCGTTGAAGTTGTAGAGACGAGGTGTGATAACTATACATTGTGCTCTTCCAAATGTGTGAGCACCTGTACAATTTTGACAAAGATGGTTAGATAAATTTTATATGTTTAATCAAAACATGAGTCATTTTTTGTCTTTTTGCCATATGCTAAAGGATATACTCCCTCTCTTCTTAAAATATAGTATATGTTTATGTGTACACATATTAAAAACCATAGTAAATATATAATTTTTTGCATTTATTATTATCAATAATTTAAATCAATAACATTTAAAAAATACAATTAATCTTTTCAAAATTTAGAAATCACCAACTAATAAAAATTGCGTAGAAAACGTCAAACATGCATTTACAATATATATGTGTGTGTGTGTGTGTATTAGTGTGGAGAGTGTATTGACCAATTCTTATGACTTAAAAACACTTTTTAATATTAGTAAATATCTTGTCATGATTGGAACTTGAAACCTTGTACAACTCATACGAATTGTTATTACTAAATTCAATCGTATAAACAGAAAAAAGGTCATCACAAAAGCATAAATTTACCAGAAAGAGCAACTAGATCTGAGGTGCGGTTAAGACCAGCGTCACTAAAAACTGTTTTAAGTTCAGCAAGAGTGGCAAATGGAGAAGGAAGAGCTGTATTAGACAGATCAAAGAAAGCCTCGAAACCATCTCTCCTCCCCAATGAAACCGGCCACCATGGACCACCCGACTATATATTTATAACATAAAACACTAACGTCAACATTCATAACATTTTTTATTAATTTATCCATATAAGTCATGATCATGTAGGGTATGTACATACCAAAAGCACTGATATTTGAGCAGCGATGGCGAGAATATCTGCACAAGACACTGTCTCTGGACAAGCTTCCTCAATCTCAGATTTCATTCTATCTACCACATCAAACCCTCTTACCGAGTTTGCGTTCGGAAGAGCATCTTTCTCGGTCCTGAATGTCGTGGAATTGTCGAGTAGGAGCGATGCATCACAGCCCTACACAATCATATTACATTACATGACCATGTTATATAATAATTCAAAAACGTCATAGACTTTTATTATATAAAAAAAAGATAAATATTGAGCAAGTCTTTATACGTTAACAAAACAGTCATGGAAATGGAGGCGAAGGAGGCTAGCAGCAATACGAGGATCACTTCCCAATTCTTCGACGATGACTTTCCCAACGATAAGGAAAACACCCGGGCATGTTCTGAAATAGAAGTCAGGCCTCAGCTGAGCATTAGAAGTTGATGCTTGAAGGAGAAGGCAACCCAATATTAGGGCTCCCATAACACTACAAGAAAATGAGCGAGAAAACCCCATTTTTTGTTCTAGGAGGAAGACAAAAGATGATGTAAGTTGTGAGCGTTGATGATGATGAATTATCCAAGGCGTATAGGAGTATTATATAGAGAATCCCGGGTGTTTTCTTCTATAATATAAGACTAGTAGGTATTATTATAAGAACAAGTTTTAATATATGTACTAGGAAGAACTGGCTTGTGTATATCACATCAATATTTGTTTTATAAATTTAGTATTTAATTACTAATATATTATTATTACCGGTTTTTGAATAACCATAGTACTATGTAGAGAAAATCATATACGCACAAATTAACAAAAATGCATGAAATAGATACAGTTAAAAGACATTAGTCCTAAATAGATGCAATTGCCAGTAAAAAGGTGCAAATAATTATAAAAAGGAAGCAATATATAAATGCAGTTGTTTCTAAGATATTATATTCGATAGAAAAATAAAATGAAAGACCAAAACTCATCAAATAATAATAAAAATAATTAAAAGATATAAGTATTTAAAGATGTGATTTATTTTAAAAAAAAATACAAAAAATATATATGACCTGCATGGTTATAAATTGTAATAGATCAGTTATAAATTCACCTTTTTATAATAGGTCAGTTATAAACATTTATGACCTGCATGATTCATTTACATTGATCAATTGACTTTCTTTGATCAATGAGGATTTCGTGATTATGTTGTTACTTAACTTACTTGTTTAACAATTAAATATAGAGACTAATTTTATAGGTCTAAATTATCAATTTCGAGTTCAAGTTCTTATAAAAATATTTGTTCTAGTAAACAAAACCCGTAAGGCTTAAGCTATAAAGCGAAATATATACTAAAACTCAAACCATCAAGGCATCAAAACTCTAGGTCAACTCCAACCACATAGTAAAACGTGAAAATAGTGTCAGTTGATGTTTCTCCTCTCAAACCCAATGGCATATGCAAGTGTATTTTTGTGTGATTACTGTATTTTAGTGTGGTTCTTTTTTTTCTACAGCGTCACATTATTGTTGGTTAAGACCATCACCAACGATTTATTCTATTTTAGAATAACTTTCACTTTAAAACACAGTAATTCTAAAATAGAGTAGAGTTTCTCTCGAATGATTTATTCTATATTTGACTCTAAAATATATATATATATATAAATATTTTTTTATTTTATGACTAATATATTTTACTTACAAAATTTACAAATTGATTCGTTATATTTTATTTTTCAATTTTTTTCATAAGTTATATATTTATTTCAAATATTTATTATATTAAAACTACATTATATTAAAAGCATAATACATTTTCTGTTAATTTTAGTATTTGTTTTCTTTGGCTGATACTATAATATTTAAATTTAGTGCTTGTTTTCTTGGTTAGTAATAATAATTTTCAAATATTTAGATATATTGTGGAACAAAATTATATGATGTGTGCATAATTAAAGTACATAAATAGTTACAAAACAAAAGAAATAAAGAATAAAATAACTAAAGGTATAAATAAAAATTTTCACTCTATAATAAAATAAGAAGTAGAATTACTCCAAATATCGAATAAGAAATAGACTTACACTATTTTAGAGTGGGATTAGAGAAAATTATATTTTATAATTGAGTTTAATGTAAAAATAGAATGAAATTGGAGATGTCCTAACACTGTAACAATAACAAAGAAACTTATTTGTTTATATCAAAACTGTTTATTCTATGCATTATTTAACTATGGTTGATTATATTTGATTTGTATAATTGTTTTACAGCTGGATTAAATATATGAATTATATTATTGTTGTTTTGTTATATTTTAATTATATGAAATATTAATTTATATATAACCATAAATTAATTTTAAATAAATTAAATTTTAATTTAACCATTTGAAATAGAAATATTATTGTAGTTACAATTTTGTTTAATATATATATATATATATATATATATATATATATATATATATTTTATTCATAAAATAATTAATATTTATCAGAACACAAAGAATCTTGATTAATGAATAATGAAAAAAAAAATTAGTGTGATATATCATGCTGTGGTTGGAGATCTAAAAGAGTTTGATGTTCAGATTACATTAAGATAATATAATTTTGACATTAAAATAGTGCTCTAAGATTCTAAAACCACCAACGACTTTTATCATCACCGTTATCATCGTCTATCTACTATCTATGTCTAAGTCCGTAACTTGACCAGTTTTGCCGTGAAACCCAAACACTTGCAATTGGTCAAGCGGAATAATAAAAGTACTAAAAATTAATAAAAACTTGCAAGTACGAATTTAAAATAGCCAATACAAAAGTTAATTACTTAGTTTTGTTTGACCCGTTACTTATTTTTTAAGCAACTAACTAGTTAAATTTATTAAAATTTATATTAATTATGTTTTCAGAAAGTAATAATCGACATGACCGTTTACCAGATGAGAAACGAAACCAAACATCCTAAGATCATAGTTTCAATGTAATCCAAATCTTGTTCATTTCTTGTATCAGATTCAAAAAATTTGTCAGTAAATATCATTTTGAAACATCAAGGTTTCAAATTCCTTACAAGTTCGGCTATCTTTATTTGTATTTTATTATTTTCGAAAACAAATTTAGATTTGTAAAAATCATAAATTAGGAAAATACCAACACATCACCATCTCATATTTATGTTATACATTTAAAATATTCACCATATTTAGCCGCCATAAAAGGATCTAAATTACATTGAAATGTTCGGTTTGTACATTAACACATCCGAGGTATCTCCTCTATATCCCCTAAATCTCATTCTCTAATCTTTCTAGGACACATTTCTTCTTTTAATTTTATATGTCAAACGAAAAATCATAAAATTAATCTGAAAACGTGAATATTTTTTATTTGATTTATAGAATTTGATAAAAATATTTCAAAATTCAAACAATTAAATTTTGATATTTTCACGAAAATCATCAAAATATGATTAAAAACGATTTTAAAATATATTTTTTTCGAAATTTGATCACTATAGAATTTAAATCTTTGCCCAAGGGTTCACTAATCCATTGGGGGGATTTTTGTTTAGTTTTGAACATCGAGAATGATTTAATTGGGGGTTTGGATTTTGATCAAAAACAAGAATTATGAAATAGAGGTATAAGAGATCTTGTGAACCCATAAGAGATTAGCTTAAAAAAAATAGGGGCACGAGAGAAGATGCCTCAACACATCCATATGGACATAAAATACATAAATTCGGGCCTCCGGCGTTGTAGAAGCCACCGAAACTATTAGCCACTACATATATTTCTTTTTATCTTTTCCAATGGCGGCTAATAAGACTCATGGTGATGATATTAATGTAATCTAGTCAATACTTATAACCTATGAGGAGAGTGTAGATTCACAAAAGACAAGTATTTATAAGGGGGATTCGTGTCTCTCATACACTAGCAATACTATGAGATAGTAAAACAATTTCTCTCACTTTTGACCAACATCAATCACAAACTTGAAGACGACAGAATATTTTTGTCTTTATGAATAGTAATGTCATCATCTTACAACCATCAATATCGACTTTTTTGAAAAAATAAAGACGTGGAAGCCAAGTTTTATTAGAGCCAAATGGGTAACGAGTATAAGTGGACAACCCTCATGTATATTGATTTTGGTAGGTACTTGATTAACCAAGTATATACAGGACCGGGTTAACAATGTTTTGGGGCAGTATAAGTGGACAACCCTCATGTATATTGATTTTGGTAGGTACTTGATTAACCAAGTATATACAGGACCGGGTTAACAATGTTTTAGGCCCCAGGACAAAACGTTCTTAATATTTTTATTGAAAATTTAAGTATATTTTCAAATTTTATATAACAATACGTAAATATAAAAAATATTAGACCCTTAATTAATAAGATACAGGGAACACGGACTTGGATCCAGGACGGTCGCACCATTTGTATCTCATCTTAGCCGGCCCTAAGTATATGCTAATAACAAGTAATACATGTAAATTTATTTACTAGTGTGAGGGTTGCTACTTGAAGACTTACTGAAGGCACATTCGTAAGACCAGATATCATAGTTATCCCGTGTGAACATTTATTTAGTCGAAATACATATAGTGTCCCCCACTCATTTTTATATTTTGTTACATATTCATATCCCCAACATGATCAAATCGAACTCACAACACCGTCATCCTCATTCTCCACACTCCTGATCCTTGAGTTCACAACCCTACAGTTCTTTCTTATCTCGCCTTGAGTTCCAGTCAAGGGCTTAAGATTTCCCATCCGAATCATTGCTTCAGTGAATGCTCGAAAGAACAAGAACCTGTTGTTGCTGTATTCCACCACTAGTGGAATCGTGTCTGCTCCTGGAGTTGAGAACAGTTCTTGATCGCTCTGAATCAGTCCTTCCCCGAAACGAAGATTGGTGTAGTATTCATTATCGAAAGCATCTGGAGTCTCGGGGTCGAAGTTGACCAGAACAGTGCCATTTCCGTTTTGAGGGCACATTCGACGGAGTTGGTCACGGTAAATTGGGTTTAGACTCGGGTCGGGCATATTGGTACCACTGAAGTTGTAGAGACGAGGTGTCACAAACTGACATTGTGCTCTTCCAAATGTGTGACCACCTATACAGTTTCGACAAGACTGGTTTAGATAGATTTTATATGTTTAATCAAAGATGATGGGTCACTTTTTCTCGTTTACATACTCATCTTATTATTCAAATTCACGTGCTAGAAAGATAGTTGTTTGGAGGTTTGTATCTATTCCTTTGTCATGATATTTTTGGTAATGTATTTCAAGCAGATAGGTTTTCATACTTAACTCATATTGACTAATTCCTATGCGTAGAAATTTTCCTTTTTGAATACTAAATATCATGTTGACAAAAACAAAACAAAAAATCCTATGTTGAGATTCGACTTTGAAACTTTGTACGACTATTTCACTATACAGTATTAGGAGATGACTATAGGTGAGTGTTCTACACATCTTTAATTTTTTGTGTAGAAATAAAATCAATTTAACCAAGCTTTAGTAAAAAAAATTATAGTTCAAAATCTTTAAAAGTTATATATTGGTTACAGAAGTCAATTTTCACGGTTTTATGTTTAGTGTTTTAAAAATTTGACATAATTCTAAAACAATAAAATCGAAAATCACAAAATTTACATCTATATCTTAAAGCAATAAAAAAATCCAAAGCTACGACATCTACCAATCAAAACTTTTAGTATATATAGAATCAGATAAGCGCATATTAGCTCCACCAAAATTATGTTGTAAAGCATATTAGGAGGAAAAAATACCCAATCAAAATTTATCAAATGACTATATATTTAGTTTTTAGTCTTTTATTTGTTGCATGCGCAATTCTATGGTTACTTATTTATACAATTCTTTTCTTAAATATGAGAAAATATAATTTTGACTATGAAATGCAGAACCGAAATACTCCCATTTTATAAAATAAATAATAATGAAATAACAAATATATATTTGTAAACAAATAACTGTAGCTTCGAATTAAGTTTGTAATTTTCCGATACTTTGTTTATAAGTGGATCTAGGTAACTGTCATCTGTAAATATATAAGATGAAGTCTATCCAGATAAACATTTATCTTAGATGATCATACATATGGCAACAACATAAAAAAATTACCAGAAAGTGCGACTAGATCTGAGGGGCGATCCAGACCAACATCAGCAAAACTCTTTTTAAGTTCAGCAAGAGTGAAAAATGGAGAAGGAAGAGCTGAATTAGACAGATTGAAGAAAGCTTGTAAGCTGTCTCTCCTTCCCAATGGAACTGGCCACCACGGACCTCCGGACTATATGACAGAAAATACTAACATCAGCATTCATAACATTTTCGACTAATTCATCAATATAAGTCATGTTGTAGGTATGTATGTACATACCAAAATCACTGATATTTGAGAAGCGATGGTGAGAATATCTGCACAAGACACCGTTCTTGGGCATACTCTCTCAATCTCAGTTTTCATTTTATCTATGACATCAAACCCTCTAGCCGAATTTGCGTTTGGAGCAGCATCTTTCTCTGTCCTGAAGGATGTGGAGTTGTCTAGCAGGATCGATGCATCACAGCCCTATAAAAGCATAGTACATTGCGTGAACATTGTATAAATTAATTCAAAACATTCTTTTAGATTTTACTCTATATGTAAATGGTTAGTAAAAGTACTTTTGTCCATGAGCACGTCATGAGTAACTTTATATTAAAAGATAAATAAGTTGAGTACTAAGTCCCTTACATTAACAAAACAGTCATGGAAGTGAAGGCGAAGGAGGCTAGCGGCAATACGAGGATCAGAGCCCAATTCATCAACGATGATGTTCCCAATGATATCGAAGACACCTGGGCATGATCTGGAATAGAAATCAGGCCTCAGTTGAGCATTAGAGTTTGATGCTTGAAGAAGAAGAAAACCCAAGATTAGGGCTCCCATGGCACTGCAAGAAAATGAAGGAGAAAACCTCATTTTCCTAAGCTGATTTGAATTCTGACTTTTGAGTGTGGATGATGGTGATTTAGCTTAGGCGAGACGGAGCATTATATAGGGAAGCTTGTGTGTTTTCTTCTATGGTTTATTAGGTATTTTTCAATAAAGGGATTAGGTATTGTCTCAAGGCCATAAATAATCTATTTACCATAGTGGTTGAAAGAGAATAGTAATTATTTTATAAATAAAAATTCACCGGTTCTTTTGACGGTGCTCGAATTCTTTGCACATAATATAACTTGATTAGTTTTTGGTTGCATTTGTCGCTGTGCTTAAGTTAACCAGCCTTAAAACTGATCATGTTTCACTTCAATTGTATATTTTAGGATAATTACATAATGATATGTTTTAGTGTAACTTTTCTTTTTAACTAACTCCATGTATTCATTACGGATATGGACGTTTTACTAATGAGTAATGAACTAGAAACGACGTAGTTCTATAAAGAGATGGTTCTCAGTACCGCCAAATTTCAATTGTATATCTATTTCAAGGCGTACATGATTCCTTATAAGAATTGAATTCACATTATTGCGTGTGATAAATAAGTTATAAGCGACGTTAAATGTCAACTGTACATAGTACAAAAATAATTGAATCATATACTGAATTCAGATTTTGAATTTATGAAGAAATTATTAACAATTTGGATTCAGGGTAAGGCCTCTAGATATATGAGTGTGTTAATACATAAATTGTAACTGTATGTAGAAATCATAATATCAATATGTCATCATAAGATAACATTTTTTGACTGAATAAGAAACATTTTTGTTAGTAACATGTTCTAGTTGATATCTGAAGTTCATTAGAAAATATCTATTTTTCAGATAACAACTCACGAAAAAAATGTTCAAAACATTAATTGTCAATCCCCGATAAATTTTATGGATTTTATCCATTTTCTATTTTAATATCTGATAATCATATAATATGATTATTTATTTATTATTAGCATATACTATTTTCTAATATTTAACGACGGATATACAAATCACAAGTGTGGTTTATCCTTCGCACTCCCGTTAATAACGCGAATAGCGCCTAGATCAGAAGCCACCTTCACAAAGTTACCTAATACATATATCACTTCCCGAGTCCATATTATGGTTAACCTAATCTAATACTTTTGCTCCTTGTCTTTACTTCTCAATTACAAGAGTCCAAAGCGGACAAAGGATTTTGATATTTTATCACGGGAATTAATTGAAAAATATTTATTTCATAAAGTTGGAGGGGCAATACTAAACATAAGACTGCATTTAGTCTTTTCTGAAATCAAGATGAAATCGAAGACAATTGAGACAGAAACAAAATGAAAATATTATTTTTATGGTTGGACAAAAGGAAGAACAATCAAACAAGAAGTTGGAGAAATAATTGGCGACACGACATAGATTACTCATGAACGGTGACTAAAGATAATCTTTTAGGTGAGAAATTTTAAAAGTAATCAATGACGCATTAGCTATTGATTTAAGATATAGTAGAGGTTCTTCCGGAAGGAACACTGAAAGGTGAAAGCGTTCGGATAAACCGAAACCTAACTAAGGATTTTTTTGTGGTTAAAGAAAAGGAAATCAAATCAAAGCTGTAAGATGTTAAAGTCCTTGTCAATGACTCAATGGTGATTTGTGTATGTGCAAATTTCTATTTTTCCGAATCATTTTCACTTGAAGTATGGATTATTATTATTTATTGCGATTAGGGAATACTTAAACCTCGTTTGGTAAACGGTGTCTCAAATGTGAAAGTGGATCTAAAGCAAGATAAATTTGCAATGATTTTCATAAAATAGAAACCTAAGATTGATAAACAGATAGCTCAAGAGGAGGATTAGAGATATTGCAAGTTATGTAATGGCCCGGCCCACTGGCTAAACACTATTTCTACTTCTAATGAATTATTGTTGAACAAAAAAAAGAGATATTGCAAAATACAAAAGAAGAAAAACACCTTCAGGTTTCTCACAAAGATCAGAAGTATATGTTGCTAATATCATAAATATTGAAGGAGGAAAGTTGCTTTGAGAAAACTCTCTAGGTTATATATTCATTGAGATGTTTCATCAGAAAAAATATACATTTGAAACACCATAAAACTAACCATGTCGTACTTTGGGCATATAGCTTATGACACTTGAGGGGAATAAATATTCTTTAGTCATAGACTAATAATGCTGCTATATATTAGCTTATGTAACACATTCAATGTATCCGGAGAGGACGATTTTGGCATTGCCGGCTTTGAACTATATATAACGTTCCATACAATAAACAGATTTTTACAACTTGACTAACTTCTTCTCCACTTTGCTCATTTCTAAGTTTGTGAGAGAAAATAAGAAAAAAAAAGTGAGCACAAAACGGATACATATATGACTTTTCACAATACGACGAAAGTGGCGTGTCGTTTTGACACGTCACATTCAAACAGAAGACAGTATCAATCCGAAAGACAAGAGTTCCTTTTTTTTTTTTTTAACCACTCTCTGTCGGACTAAAACTAAACCCCGCCCTTCTCACTTCATCATCTCGCCTTGTTCCGACGAATCTGTCTTCTTCCGTAACTTCTTCTCTATGGCAGAATCCTCTTTATTGGGCTCCCCTCAGAGCTTAAACCCTGACTCGGATCTGTCGTTCACTGCGAATGTCCGTGCAGAAATCGACACTTCGTCACGGTTCGTGTCAGTCAGAGAAGCGGCTAATCGGTTCGGCGGTTTCGGTTTCTGGAAACCTCACAATTCTGAGGTTTCTCCCTCACACTTTTTTCAGGTTTTATCTGAAGAAAAGTATTGATTTTTAGGGTTTTCTGTTGTTGAAATTGATGTCCGACACAAATCTTACTGAAAAACTTGGAACTGAGATTTGAGTCATGATGATGATGTTTCTGGTTTTGGTTGTAGGAGAATGTCACAGAAGATGATATCATTGAACTCAAGAGACAGACTGCTGAGCTACAGAACGTTCTACTCTTGAAAGATTGTGAGACGTGTGAGGTGCTGAAGGAGCTTGAAGCGACTAAAGCCACAGTTATAAAGCTCTACACCAAGCTTGAGCATAAGAAGAGTAAGGAGGAGGATTTAAGAGAAGAAGAAGTTCACTCTCATATCAAGCCTGCTGGTGTGGTGCTTAAGGATTTAAACAAGGCAAAGATGAACTTGTGCAAGAGAACGGTAGATCTCTCCGGTTTACGCAAGTCTGTTGAGATTTTGAATAAGCAACTGAAGGAAGAAAAGGCTTTGCTTGAGAAGACACGCGAGAGACTTTTGCAGAAGTCTCTGAAAGTGATTTCCCTAGAGGAAGAAAAGAAAGGTGAAACCAGCGAGAAAGATCTTGAGAATAACGCGTTGAGGATGATTAATGAGGTGAAAAGACTCAGCTCTGAAGCTCAGGAGTTCAAGAAGAGAGGTGAGAAGGCAATGGTGGAGATTGAACACACGAGAGAGAAGATCAAAACGGTTAAGATGAAGTTGGTGGCTGCTAGAAAGATTAAGGAAGCGGCTAGAGCTGCTGAGGCGGTTGCAATGGCTGAGATTAAGGCTGTTACTGAAGATGCTGTGACTGTGACTATCTCTTCTGAAGAGTACGCTAAGCTGACTCTTGACGCTAGAGAGGCAGAGGAAGAGGCGAGGAAGAGAGTGGAAGATGCAATGTCTAGAGTTGAAGAAGCGAATGTTTCAAAGATGGATACTCTGAAGAAAGTAGACGAAGCGGCGCAAGAAGTTGAGACCAGTAAGAAGGCATTGGAGGAAGCTGTGGAGAGAGCTGACGCAGCAAACACTACAAAACTTGAAGCGGAAGAGACGCTAAGAAACTGGAAGTCAGAGAAGGGGCAGAGGAGAAGATCATCAGTTAACAACACTGCCAAGTTCAAGAGCAGCAGAGAGACAAAACCAACAACAAAGACACGTTTTAAGGATGTAAACGGTCTGCATCTGACGTATGATTTTGTCCTTGGCCCATCATCTTCAGTTCCTGTCTTGAAGCCAACAATGTCAATAGGGCAAATACTCAGTAACAAGCTACTAGTTGCTGAGGATTCAGATATGAATGTTGTGAGCGAGAGAAAGAAGATGTCGTTGGGTCAGATGCTGGCAAAGAATAGCAACGATGATGGAACTAAGAGCAAGAAGAGTGAAGGTAAGGAGAATGGGAAAAGATCAGTAACGACTCTAAAGAGAAAGAACCTCGGGTTTGCTAAGATCGCTTTGTTGTTAAACAAAGAGAGCAAGAACAAGAAGAAGACTAAGAAGATAGATTTGAACTTGAGGTGATACAATGATGATTCAGTGTTTTGAACTTCTTGGTTTGGTGTTCTGTAAATTTAGGAAAAGTTCTGAAACTTCTCGTCTCATCTTGTGTTTGGGCCTTTAATGGGCTTTTAAGTAGCTTATTTTTTTTGTTCTCTCATTATTTCCTTCTGTGACTCGTGACCGTAAAACTGTGTAAATCATTGGTTTGTTTCTTGTATCATTCACTGTTTCAATTTACTAACGACTTAAGACAAAAAAAATTCAGGACTTCTGTATATTTTTTTTTTTGCATAGGCTTTGTATTGGTTTTTTTTTTTTTTGGGAACTCTATTGGTTGTATTGGTTGTATCAGTCAATTTATACTAATTCCATCTAATTGTTTTGTTGAGTTAATCATTGCTAGCGAAACTTCCTTGGGGGTATGATGGGCCAAGCTTTTGACCTTAGTTCATAAACTTATATGATTATATCCATCCTTGTTAGGTATTCTCCTCAAAATTGCTTCGACTAAAGCCTTGAATCTCACCGATCTTGGTCGCAAATCTCGCTTTTCTTGTGACTTTAAACAAAACGTACTTGATTAATCGTTTATAGGTGTGATTGTGCATACATTTTTGTAGATTGTAGCCATATTACAAACCTTTAGTTCGTATTAATGCTAGAAATCTTAGCTTTGCTTTCTATTTCTGAGTATATATAACTAAAGAATTGAATAACAGTGATCATCCCCCGAAAATAGTTGGAAAATATTTTATTTTATTAAAGGTCCCATAATCCCAATAATGAACCCTTTTAGACTGTATAATATGATAATATAGATTTAACTGTATGGTAACAGGAAGTCATATTGCAAGACCAACTAAATAGTTATTTAAGGTCTAAACAAGTGAAATAGGGAACTTATACATATAGAGCAACTATTTTGTGGTTCTAACTGGTTATAACTCAGAACCATAAGTATTGAACACGAAATAAATATATGAATGGGATTCTGAAACTTAACTGGTAGAGACACAAACATGGAATTTAAATTAGAAACTAAATTTAATTAATTCCCACTGTTATCTTTTACTTGAATATCACATAACTCTAAATGCAACAAAGATACAAATAGTAATATATATATATATATATATATATGTGAATAAGGGAGTGAAAACGTAGAAGAAGACCATCAAGGGTCAATGAGATAATGTAAGTTGGAAATATGATGAAAAAACGTAAATTAAATATTGGAGATAAAGCTAAAGTTGAAGATAAGGACGTTAATATTTAGAGATAATGATGTAATTTATATAGGAGTTATCTTTGTAGAGTCGGTTGTTGACTCGAGTATATATACGTTTGTAAATCAATGAATAAAGGAAGCAATTCAGCTAACTTTCATGGTATCAGAGCAAAGATCAACATAAAATTTCTTTGTTTCGAATTGCTAAAATAAAAATCAAACAATCATGAGTGAAGATGCAGCGAAGATGATGATATCAAAACAGAACGAGGTTATGGGGAGTTCTCCGTATGCTCTGTTTTCATCTGATAATCCAGGAGCCTTGATTACTTCAGTGAAGTTGAAGGGCGATAATTATAATGAGTGGGCTTTGGAGATGGTTAATGCACTCCGAGCTAAGAAGAAGATGGGTTTCGTGGATGGTACGTTACCGAAGCCAAGTGAAGATAGTCCCGATTTAGAAGCGTGGCTCAGTGTTAACTCTATGATAGTGGGTTGGATCCGTTCGTCTATAGAACCAAAAGTCCGATCTACTGTGACTTTCATTACTGAAGCGCAGAAGTTATGGGAGAATTTGAAGAAACGCTTTGAAGTAGGAAACAAAGTGCGTATTCATCAGTTGAAAGAACAATTGGCATCTTGTAGACAGGATGGACAGGCTGTGATAGACTATTATGGACGTCTAGCTATGATGTGGGAAGAATTGCAGACGTACAAACCACCTCCGGCTTGTACATGTTCTGCGGCAGCAGCTTATGAAAAAGAAAGAGAAGAAGAAAGAGTGCATCAATTTATTATGGGGCTAGATGATTCCAAGTTTAGCAATGTGGTGACAGCAATCATCGAAGCTGATGAGCTACCTGATTTAGGTAAAGCTTATGCTAAGGTGATTAGGGAAGAAGCTAGAATGAATGCAACTAAATCTCGTGAAGTAGCTCAGCAAGAGGCGATTGGTTTTGCTAGCAACAAAAGAGATAATCAACTGGAGGAAGGGTCCAGGAATATGTCCAAAGGAGAGAATTTAGAAGCAAGTGGTTTTGTGGCACGATCTGAGAACACAAACTCTGGATATGGAAATAAAGCTAGAACATGTTCAAACTGCGGCAAGACGGGTCATGACAAGAGCAGTTGCTGGCAAATCATTGGTTTTCCTGAGTGGATGGTTGAGAGAAGAGGCAGAGGAGCTGGTAGAGGAAACGGACGAGGTGGTTATGGTCGTGGGGGAGCTACTAATGGTCGTGGTTCAGCACATACAGCACAAGCGACTAGCTCTTATGGTTCAGGGACTGGTGATTTGTCTCCTGAGCAGTGGAAAGCCATAACTCAAATCGTCAATGGAGGGAGATCAGGCAATCAGTCTGAAAAGCTTTCTGGTAAGCAAATTGGTGATGTAATTATCGATTCAGGTGCGTCTCACCATATGACAGGGGATGTGTCATTGCTTGTCAATGTAAGGAATACTCCAGCTTGTAGAGTTGGCTTCGCAGACGGTGGAACTTCAACGTCAACTCAGATGGGTGACATGGTCTTAACGGATCGTATATCACTCAAAGATGTTCTATTTGTACCAAATTTGGATTGTACACTTATTTCAGTGTCCAAGTTGCTGCGCCACACTAACTGTTTTGCACTTTTCACGGATACTATTTGTGTTTTGCAGGACCGTTCTTCGAAGACTCTGATTGGAGCCGGTGAGGAACGTGATGGGGTATATTATTTCAAGGATGTTAGAGTAGCTCAAGCCAACAAAGCTAGTGGAACTGAGAAACAAGTTTTGTGGCATAGGAGACTTGGACACCCTGCTATTTCAGTGTTTTCTTCTTTGTCTGAGATTTCTGGTGTTAAAAATAATGCTTGCTCTAGTCAGTGCGACGTGTGTTTTAGAGCAAAGCAAACAAGAGATGTTTTTTATGATAGTATGAATAAAACTAGCAAGAGTTTTGAGTTGATTCATGTGGACGTTTGGGGCCCTTATAGGGTACCGGCTTCGTGTGGGGCTGTGTACTTTCTTACTGTGGTAGATGATTACTCAAGAGCTGTTTGGACACACTTATTACTTGCTAAGTCCGAAGTTCAAAAGGTACTGAGACGGTTTTGCATTTATGCTGAGAAACAGTTTGGACTTGCTGTCAAGACTGTTAGGAGTGATAATGGAACAGAATTTATGTGTTTAAGAGATTATTTTCGAGAGGCAGGAATTATTCATCAAACTAGTTGTGTTGATACGCCTCAACAAAATGGTCGTGTGGAAAGAAAACACAGGCACATACTCAACGTGGCAAGAGCAATGTTGTTTCAAGCAAAAATGCCTGTGAAGTTTTGGGGAGAAGCTATTACTGCAGCTACTCACGTAATCAACATGACACCTAGCAAGGTGTTGAAAGGAAAAACACCTTATGAAGTTTTGTTTGGAGTTAAGCCGCCTTATGACACATTGCGTGTGTTTGGGTCTTTATGTCATGTGCATCGAAGAGATAGGAGCAAAGATAAGTTTGGAGCACGCAGTAGGAAGTGTGTGTTTGTTGGTTATCCATTTGGAAAAAAGGCATGGAGAGTTTATGATATGGAAAGGAATGAGTTTCTGATCTCTAGAGACATCAGTTTTGAGGAAAACGTGTTTCCTTTTGATCAAGTAAAAGAGAACAGTTCAGAGATACAAACCATGTCTGGTGGTCCAGATGATGATTGGATCATCGATGTGGTGGTAAACAAGTCAGGTAATGCAGAGGCTGCAAAGGAAGTTGCAGGTGGAGGACTTACTAGTGAGATCACAAGTACTGAAATGGATATGGTGGCAAACGATAACAGAACAGATAAGGCTGCTGTAGATGATGTTCCTAAAGATAAAAATACAGAGGAGATGACAGTTACAGATTCAGAAATGGGCAGAGGTTGCAGAGAAAAGAAAACTTCATCTAGACTGCGAGACTACATTACGTACAATGCACACTGCATTAAGGAAGACGAAGAACCCCATCACGCACACACCGGCTTCACTCAACAATCAGAGTCTTTGACGACAGTCCTAGGTACAACACCATATCCCATCATTAATTATATATCTGATGATAAGTTTTCACCTGAGCACAGAGCTTTCTTAGCGGCTATAACGAGTGGGAATGAGCCAAGGAATTACAAAGAAGCTGTGCAACAAAAGGTGTGGCGTGATTCAATGAGTAAAGAGATCACTGCTTTTGAGATCAACAAAACGTTCAGTATAGTTGACTTGCCACCCGGTAAGAAGGCTATTGGGAATATGTGGGTATACAAATACAAATATAATGCAGATGGAACCATGGAGAGAGCCAAATCTCGTCTTGTGGCTTTAGGCAACAGGCAGGTGAAAGGCAGGGATTTCAAGGAGACATTTGCTCCTGTTGCCAAAATGACTACTATAAGATGTTTGTTGCGTATAATAGCTGGGAAAGGCTGGATTGTGCATCAGATGGATGTGCACAATGCCTTCTTGCATGGAGATCTAAAAGAAGAGGTCTACATGAAGCTTCCGCAGGGGTTTAAAGCATCAGATTCCAATAAAGTTTGTCGGTTACACAAAGCTATATATGGTTTAAAGCAGGCTCCTAGATGTTGGTTTGCTAAGCTAACGCAGGCACTGAAGAAGTTTGGGTTTGAACACTCATATGCAGACTATTCACTGTTTATATACTCAAAAGGAAGCGTGGAACTCAGAGTACTTATTTACGTGGATGATTTACTAATCTGTGGAAATGATGCTGAATTTTTAACGAAGTTTAAAGCGCATTTGGGGAGGTGTTTTCACATGAAAGACTTGGGGAAACTGAAGTACTTCCTAGGCATAGAGATAGGACGTGGTGAAGAAGGTTTTATACTTACTCAACGCAAGTACACACTGGACTTGGTTGCAGAGGTAGGGCTGTTAGGTGCCAAACCAGTGGCGACGCCCATGGAGATTCAGCACAGATTAGCATTGGACTTGAGTCCGTTTTTGACTGATGCAGAGAGATACAGACGGCTGGTTGGAAGGTTGATTTACTT